AGTGGATAGCAATGACAGTGAATGTGGATTTCTCATCCAAGGACTGAGGTAGATAGGAAGTAGAATACGTGTTGGTTATAGAGAGACAGTAGGGTTATAGAATGGGTAATTATTATCCCTTTTAGTGTCAGAAATATTTTTTGTTGTTATCCTTGTAAGTGACACTTCATAAAGGAGGTTTAATGTTGAAATGTGCTATGTGTAAATTCCATGTTTTGCCAAGTCAACATCTTTCCAAATTTGAGAGCCCTAAGTGAGGTGGGTGGAGATTTATGGTCTAATACAGATCATAACATGCTTTCAACACCAGGACTGATATTGGAAGAGTTAATGTGCTATGCACATCTGTTGATGAGAGTGCTAGAAGAGAATGGAAAATAAATTCCAATGCAAGGCAATTCAAGATGGTATTATCAGTGTATGTATTACAAGTCAATTGTTTGCACAGGTTTGAAAAATCCAGGAATTGCTGCTTTAAATCAATAGGTAGCACCCCATTATTGTGTCAGGTAAATTGGAGCACACAAAGAGAGTAAGAAACGGCCATGCCTACAATCTAAAGAGAGTAAGAGCATCACCATGAAATGAATAGAGAACAGCAATTAACAAAATGTTCATTACGTGACCCCCAAATTAGGGCAAGTACATAATAGAAGGGTCCTTTAAGAATAGATAGACTACAATGTGGTAAAGAAGAGAGGGGATTTTTAGGGGAAAGAAAAAGCATAGAATGAGAATTGTAGGATTGTATATATGGAGAAGAATGTGAAACAAAGAGGGAACCTGAATATGTTTCAATGTTCTAAAAAGTAAATCGTTTTCCAGGTAACAGCTTAGTTCTAGAATTATTTTATAAGTGTGTTGTTCATATGCCAGATTCAAAGTAGCTTTTTAAAACCAGTTTTTTACAATTATAAAAGTAGTATATTTGCACCTTTAAAAAAATTCAAGTTTAGTAATAAAGTAAATTTTTGCCTTCTCCCTCAACCCCTGCCCTTTTCACAAGGGTAACTGTTATGTTTCTTCAGTATTCTTCTGGAAATGTTAAACCATATTTCTATATATACACATTTTTATAAACATGGTTTACCCATCCTTCCCCCCCCCACCATCGCATCTGTACACTTGGCTTAAATAGTTCAAGGAATTTTTGTGGTTATTCTGTCTTCTTCCCTCTACCCTTTATTTGTTTGTGTGTTTATTTATTTATTAATTTTTAGCTCCTACAAATAAGTGAGAACATGTGGTATTTCTCTTTCTGTGCCTGACTTGTTTCACTTAATATAATTTTCTCTAAGTCCATCCATGTTGTTGCAAATGGTAGTATTTTGTTCTTCTTTATAGCAGAGTAGTATTCCATTGTGTAGATATACCACAGTTTCCTTATCCACTCATCAGGTGATGGACATTTGTGCTGGTTCCAGTTCTTGGCTATTGTATACAGAGCTGCAATAAACATTGGAGTACAGGTATCCCTTCAGCATGATGATTTCCATTCTTCTGGGTATATATGCAGCAGTGGGATCGCTGGGTCATATGGTAGATCTATCTGTAATTATTTGAGAGACCTCCATATCATTTTCCATAAAGGCTGCACCATTTTGCAGCCCCACCAACAGTGGATAAGAGTTCCTTTTGCTCCAAAACCTCTCCAGAATAGTGTACAATCATATGGATGTACATTATTTGTCTGCTTACCTATATAAAAACCTTACAGGTCAAGGGTTTGGATCTCCATACCAGCCAGCCACCCAAAACAAAACAAAACAAAACACAAAACAAATTTGTCATAGTGTGTTAATTTTTATGGATCTCATAGTGTACAATCATATGGATGTACATTATTTGTCTGCTTACCTATATAAAAACCTTACAGGTCAAGGATTTGGATCTCCATACCAGCCAGCCACCCAAAACAAAACAAAACAAAACAAAACACAAAACAAATTTGTCATAGTGTGTTAATTTTTATGGATCTGGCATAGTGTGCTAATTTTTCAAAAGTGTATATATTTTTATTATGGTGCACAAGGTTTTCTACAGGATAATGTATGTGGATGTGTATTTTATTTCTGTTTATATATGCACATTTTCATGTGCCTCACATATAGAATAATACAATCATTGGTTTGGAAAAGACTTTACAGGTCATCTTGGACATGACGCTTTAATCCCCTTGATAAAACACCTGCCACATGAGAGGAACAGTCCTTATTTGAACTGGGTACTATTACTAGAGATATTACTATTACTAGAGATAGCACTATCAGTTAAGATGCTTTCAGCTGCAAGGAACAGAATTCCTGACTAAAGATGGCTTAAATAGCAAGGACATTTAATTACCTCACACACAGGAAATTCTGAGATTGTTGCAACAGCCCAAGCATCACAACTCCACACAGTTGTGTTCAAAGGCAGAGTGTCAGAATATGATTCTTCCTTGCATATCAGGGAGGAGATCCTGCCCAGGACCTTAATGGACCTCCCCTTATCTCCCATTGGCCAGTATTGTGCCACATGCCCCAGCCGTAGCTGCATGGAATTCTGGGAAAGCACATCTCTGGAATATTCAGACTCTTTAGTGATGGGTGTTCTCAGCAAGGAAGGTTGAAAGGGGTTGGGAGAGATGTTAAGTAGACACTCTTCAGAGCTAGTTAGAGTAGCCAGTTCTGTTTTTGGATAGAGAGTCAATGTCTATGTCTTAGGAACTTCACTCTTGGTCATGTTTATGCTGTATAAGTCATTCTTAAAGAACAAGACTTCTAATGCAAGAAATAAGGTCTCCCTTCATCTACACTCCTTTGCACGGTCCTTTATATACTGTATTAATGGTGAAAAAAACAACAGATCACTCTTTTCCGTGGCTCAGACTCTTACCTGCATGTGTGCTCTATTGTGTACCATAGCTGCACTGTGTATTAAGGTCCTTTCTTTATAGCAATTCACCAAAATCTGTAATTGCTCCTTTGTTATTTCTGCTTCCATTGTGCCACCCAAGATACCTGACCTAATAAGCTGATAGAAACCAGTCAGAACTTCATCTAAGTTATTTGAATTGATTAGTTATGAGAACAAGTTGCATCTTTGTATCTTTTTAAGGGGATCACTAGGAATGCTATATATTTTAATAGTAATATGTGTCATAACTTTTCTTTCTCTTCTCTTTCTTTTTCATCAAACTTTTAAAACCTCTGATTTAGAATGGATGGTAAGTAGATATTTGATGTGGGAGTCCTTACTTCTTTGGCTTAGTATTTGTGAAGCAGTTATAACAGTTTGGAAGAAAATATTAAATGGTGTGGAAATAAAGGGGCAAGACCTTGGATCCTGTATGTGTCACTGTCCCCTTGATTTCGTAGTTTTGGGGATCTTAGAGCATCCATCTCCCTTGGAGTTTATCTGTGAATCATGGGATTCCCCTTCTGATTATATTTGTGTCAAGGGCCCATCATTTGTCAACCCTACTCCCTAGAATTCTTAGATATGAAAATATATTTAAAGATGCTACTTTTGATTGAAAACTTGTAAGAATTAGATCCAATGATTTTGTTTTCTAGGTGAACATCAATGGAGACAGTGTTTGTTGGAACATTTCCGATTTTTTTCCCCAACATTTAATTTGCAAAATTATTAACTTTAAAAATTACACCTCTACTTAATACCTTTATTTCCTTTTTGTACCACCTTTTGGGGATTTGTTTGCCTCCTGTGTATAAATTTGTAGGCAACACAAGCCCTAGGAGATTTAAAACTAGAATCATGTCAGTTCAAAATTTGTAAAATACACCCGTTTCTCAGTATCCATGGAGAATTGGTTCTAGGACCTCCTGCAGATACCAAAATTTCTGGTTCCTGATGTGAAATGGCTTAGTACTTGCATACAATCTCTGCATATCCTCCTGTGTACTATACTTTAAATCATCTCTAGATTACTTATAATACCGAATACAATATAAATGCTGTGTCAACAGTTGTTATACTGTATTATCTAGGGAATAAGGACAAGAAAAAAGTCTGTGCATGTTTAGTACAGAGGCAATTTGTTTTTGAATATTTTCGATCCATGATTGGTTGACTCCGTGGATGTGGGACCAATCCATGGATGTACGTTGGTTCAGAGAAGAAAGGGCTACTGTACCCTTCAAATAATATCATTTTTCACATGGCGTGTTTCTTAAAGGTCATATTATGTGGAGAGAACATGGGGTCTGTTACTGAATAGAAAAGGGAAAACTAAGCAAGATTTGTAAACACTTGAATAGATAGTTGTCGACCTTCCAACCCTATCTTCCTTCCTGTATGCCATTTAGATCTAGCCAATGTGGTATGATTGGCTGTTGTTTTATGGTCTGTGAAAGTCCCTACCTTTTGCTTTTAGAGCATGTGTGTCTTTTACAAATTGTCTCTAACTAGCACATTGGTAGTGCAGCAGAATACCCAAACTGATGGGTAATCTGACTTCTTGGCTAAGCCACACAAGATACTATTTGGTTCCTAACCTATTTGACTCTTATTCTTTAATTTCCTGCTATACATCAGAAGAAATCCTGCAACCTGTTTCTTAGTGCCTGAAAGGACAAAATCTTTTGTGAAAAATGCTTTTTCTTTTTTTGCTTTGACAGGTTCTTTAGGTCCAATTTTCTTCCAAGATAGTACACAAATAATTGTAGAAGGGACTTTTTGCCTACTTTGGGTGCTCAATGGCAAGAAATAGTCTAAAAGAGTTACAAATTTTGGTGAGAATACTCCTTATTTATTCATAAAGCAGTGGTGGCACTTCCATGAGTATCTACTTGGAGAAATGTGGCAGGGCTGAGTGACTTTGTGGACACTAGGTTTGATCCATTATGAAGTTGAGTAGTAGAAATCATCCCCCTTGGTTGTACAGTATTATACTTCCATAAATATAAGTCTATAGAAGAGGGGGGGAAAGGGGTTCAAAGCCTGAAGCTTGAATCAAAGACAGATAGACCATCACGTTTTCTTTCTTTATGCTTTAGAAGTTCACCTGGATCCCTACCGAACATGGTGTCCTGTTGCAGACTGTCAGACAGTATGCCCCATCGCTTCAAGTGACCCAGGACAGCCTGTGCCGGTGGAATGTCCGTCTTGCCACCTGAAATTCTGCTCTTGTTGCAAAGATGCTTGGCACGCAGAAGTCTCCTGTAGAGACAGTCAGCCTATTGTCCTGCCAACAGAGCATGGGTAAGAAAGGAAACTTTGTCTTTGGGATTATTCACTAGTTTTCTTAGAAACGCAGCGTATGTTGCCTGGAGAAAAAGTTATTTTGTGATGGTGTTTTGAGATTGCTTATTTTTCTAAGAACTTCCCTGAGAAGTAGCTCAGAATTGGTAAGTTGCTAACAAAAAATAACCAAAAAAAGCATTTCTAAAATGGATTTAGTTGTTTATCCCAGGAGCATCTTCAGATATTGCTGAAATTAGAATTCATATGAGTTTTGCTTTCTCTTTAGGTAGAGAGGCACCATGCTTCACTGGTTCTCAGTAGAAAGTCATGGCTTGTCCACAGCTATTTGCTTAGATACCATGTCTGCCTACTATCGGTATCTCTCATTCTTCTGGTTTGCAAAATGAGACAGAATTAAATAATTCTTACCTGACTAAATTGTCAGCTCGCGATGTATGCCAATCACGTGAGAGGGCACAGAGCAATAGAAACAGCCCTACAGTGGAGATATAGTTCTAAATTCTTAGGGAATATAGGAAGAGAGAGCTTCCCTCCTGATACTTTGTGCTCTGAAAAGATGGTGCCACGGTTAAAATTTTGTTATAATGAGAAGCATTTAAATCTGTACCTTTTAGGACAGAGGGTTTTTATGGCATCAGCAGCACCCAGAGTAGAGACCTTTGTGTCTGATCCCTTGCTTTGCTCGGTTAAAATTTTGTTATAATGAGAAGCATTTAAATCTGTACCTTTTAGGACAGAAGGTTTTTATGGCATCAGCAGCACCCAGAGTAGAGACCTTTGTGTCTGATCCCTTGCTTTGCTTGAGGCTATGGCTGTCCTGCATCAGCAAGAACAAAATGACCAGTGTTAGAGTCCAGTTGGCTTAATCACCCAGCACCCTCAGAATGTGTTGAACCACTCTTCAGGAATAGTAATCCTGCCTGGCTGGTATGCTGTGTTTGACTCTCAGACCAAACAAATTGAGAGAGGAAAAAAGATCTAATAGACATGGCAGGCATGTGTCCTCTTAGCCAGATTTAAACCAATGCCTCCTACATTTTCATTGCCTCAGTAGTAAGCTCCCTGGGTGTCACAGGGCAATATAAAAAACCTGTAGGGTAGGATTTGAGTTCTGACATTGTCACTTGGTATCTGTGTGTCCTCATCCAAGTCACTCAGCCTCTATGAGTATATTTCAACCGCTGAAAAAAAGGGGATTAAAACAGTAACTGTCCCAGAACTGTATAAGGTTATTGTCTGTACCAAATCTGATCCTAGACTTCAGGACACTTTGTGAATTGGATGTCTCTGTGTGCTGGGTGGTGGTGACGATGAACAGCAGCTGAAGTGTAACCCAGTGCTATGGCTCACCTCTCCCTCCCTCCCACCCCAATTTGTGCTGCTTGCTTATCTATTCTGCCCCTTTGGGCTGTGAGCCTGTACAGTCTATTCATCTGTTTGGAGAAGAACTTTTCAGTAATATTGAACATTGAAATTAAGTTAGTGATTATTGAGACCCCCTTCTTCATTTCATTAATGTACAGACCATTAGATAGATTATCTATGCCCAGTTTGGATCCTGAGCTAGTTCCTGTGCTGTGTAGCCAACTTCTTAAACTTCTTATTCAGACAATGTGTACTCAAGGAATGAAATATTATTTTGACAAAACAATTAGTTAAATCAGCTGTGGAGAGTGTAATGTTATAATTCATTCAAAGCCAAAATAAATACATTAAGATTCTTTCTTGTTTTGAGTTATCTGAACAACTAATCATCTGTGTCTCTCCTATTTTTACCCTAACCCTTTTCTTTGAAAGTGAAATAAGCGTGGATAACTAAGAGTTCATTACCTGCCATCAGGAGTCCTGGGAATTCAGTTGATGACCATAAATTGAATTCACTTTCTCACCCATTTTGTTTCTAGGGCCCTCTTTGGGACAGACACAGAAGCCCCTATTAAGCAATGCCCAGTTTGCCGGGTGTATATCGAACGCAATGAAGGCTGTGCTCAGATGATGTGTAAGAACTGCAAACACACATTCTGCTGGTACTGTCTCCAGAACCTGGATGTAAGTTCCACCTGGAAGAGGTTTATCGTAAGGTCTTTCCTATGCTGTAACTGTACCACAGCCAGTACCCTACTGGTTTTCCTTTAAAAATATTGAGTCTATTTTTGACCAAACGGAATTTATTTTTTTTAAGGAGATTTCCTGAACCTGCTACTTTAGATATCTCTAAAACCTCTTTTTGATTATCTTAGGTGTGTCACCTTAGTTTTAAAGGCAAGCTTTTGTTTTAGGGGCACTTCCTGCTTTTTGGGCATGGTCTCTGTTATGTAAAGGAATATTAGTGTCTTACTTCTATAGTGCTGTTGTAACAAATTAACACAAACTTAGTGGCTTAAAACAACACAAATTTATTATAGTTCTGTGCATTAGAAGTCTGACATAGGTTACACTGGGTAAAAATCAAGGTGTTGGCAGGGGCTGCCTGCTTTCCTGAAGGCTCTAGGGGAGAATCTGTTTTCTTGCCTTTTCTACATGCTGGAGGCTCCCTGTGTTCCTTGGTTTGTAGCTCTTTGTTCGTCTTCAAAGCCAGCAACATCACACCTATAGTCATCACTCCCTCTGACCACAGCTGGGAAAGGTTCTCTGCCTTTAACGCCGTAGGTGATTACACTGGCCCCACCTGTATAATCCAGAATAATCTCCTGCATCTCAAGATCCTT